CATAAGCTTTCTCATTCATGTGCTTGAGCAGTAATCAAGCTCATAACAGGACGACTTTGTTGGCCTGATATGAATAAACACGTTAGAAGTGGGCACGCTCCTGTACAAACCGCCAGAAATCTAAATTGATAAGACACAAGAAATGTCCCTCAGGCTCTTTTACAAGTTCCGACGCTCGTTTCGACCATTTTCATGTTGAATTGGTAGAACCCTTACCAGATCCAACTAGGCACTCTTACCCCTAAACGTGTGTAGACCATTTTACGCGATGGCCAGAAGCGGCACTCATCAAGAACATTACTACTGAGACAACTGTTCGAGCCTTCGTCGAATGATGGGTAGCAAACCTCAGCTCTCCTTCAACTGTCATTACAGACCATGAACACCAGTTTGAATCTGGACTTTTCGGTTGTCTTACTATACACGATTCCAAACAACCGTCTACTACCCACAAGCTAACAGGCTGATCATACGATTTCACCAACAGTTGAATGCTTCACTCTCAGATGCAAACATATCACGATTGACTCACGCTCTTCCACTCATGTTACGCGGTAATTGTGGTGCAGTGGAAGCTGACGTTGGATACACTGCAGCTCAACTCGTTAACAGAACGAAACTACAACTTCCAGGAGAATGTGTGGGTCGTTCATCTTCTTCAACGAATAGGGATCTAAACTCCCAATGGGGTACAATTACAGACGCGATTCATCACGACGAACACTCAAAATGGCGTACGAAGGATCTTTCAGTTTTTCATCAGAAATCTAAGTACTATTATGTCGATAAGAACGAAATAAAGAATGACATCAGCAATGATTAAAACTAAATCAACACAGTTTTGAACGTTACAGAAGATTTATTTGGAACTATCCAGTACAACCTTGACATTGATGTCTACATCATCATCAACCATCCTAAAGCCGCTTACGTAGAACGAAACCTCACTTTAGTCGACTTTCCTCCTGAGCAGTCGAACGATACAAGCTCCATGATTACAATGCTATGACCGATAATCAACAACCACGACAAAACTTAGGGTGTACCAAATAATCACCCCAAAACAACTCTCTCTGGTAGGATGGTAAGGTTTCCAGAACACGTGAACGACTAATGCACGCAGGACATTGCATAAGTTTTTGTTTTATCCCACTTTTCGCGTCCCACAACTGTTTGGTTGTATTCTCAGTCATTTTTATGTTGTGTTTAAAATAAAAAGCCGTGTGTTTGATAAATTTAGATGGTATAGTAAGAAAACGAAAATTGTCAGAACTATGTGATGTGTTAGCTCAGTACATTTCGAACAACCTAACATCACAAACCCGACCTCTTATTTCTATTTATGTTTCTATATATATGTCCCAAACAAATATATATATGATCAGATTATTCGAAATATATCAGGCTGATATATCACATAATTCTGAAAATCTTTGTCTTTTTATTATTCTACCTAAGATGAAAACATTTGAGCATAGTCATATTGAACGGACAGTATTAGGTTTGAGGATACAATTATTATAACTATGAATGTTTGTAAAAACGTAAGTGAAGTGCATAACTTAACGTCTATGGAACAAAATGAACCATAATTAACTGTTTAACACCAATCGCTTAGAATATTTCGTTCAGTATTTGAATGAACATACAGCTGTTGATTGATTTTATAATAATTTGCAATCAGTATTCGCAAACAGAAGATGGACATTCTTGAATTTATACATTTTATCCACATAACTTGGATGGTGCTTTTTTAATTCTTTATTAATCCACTAACATCTACATTAAAATTCATTTAACTGAAATTCAACATTTTCATGATTGCGATAATTTTGTTTCCAGTCACAAATGATGTATGTTTCCTATTACTGAATCGTTATCTCACAATCAATCATACCATTCCATTCGTTTAAAACTTTTAAGTAATGTTATTGTGTTTGATTATTTCCAATATTTCATTCTGTAATAATGTCATATACAGTTTATTCAGTTAGAACACTTATAAATATCATTTCAATTATGATATGTCGAAATTAATTAAAGAATTTTAGACTTTTGAATTAAAGAAACAATATTATGTTGGTTAAAGGGATACTTAATATTTTTTTATAACGTGACAAACGATCATTAGCTTGTGTTTTTTTTTTCAGCATTATTTTGAACATTTTTCATAGGAGTGACAATATAGGTGATTAATCGATTTTTCTTGAAATGTTATTAGTGTTATGATAAGATCCTTATTTACATCAATCATAATATATTATATCAAAGACTTGGAAGAAAAACACATCGATAACCTTCGAAATTCATTTCTATGACTATGGGACATTAGAAATTTATAAATGAAATTTAGAACCATGTTAATATTTACAAGGAAATAAATAGAACAAAACATTAGACTATTTGTTATATTTGACAGTAATCATTGCAACGAGCAATTCTCACATATGTTCACAGTGTACATTTATTGTTATTTGGGTAAAAAATATAGTCGGATTTTAATTTTAACATTCCCTCTAATAGACTTCATAATATAGTTATAAATTTAAAAAGTTGGTATCTATATCAGTAATACAATCATATTCATACTTTTATAGAAAATTTGTTTGAAAATTTAATTATTTCAGTAGTTGAGATCATGGGCCAATTAAAGCTAGATCACCATGGAAAACCTAGAAGCACTGGACGACCGTTTCGTTCTATTGTGGGACTTCTCAACTATTGAAATTATTATCTAATATCCACAAAACCTCTTGTGATACTAATTTCATTATTATTTCCTTGAAATAAACTTGGACCAGATTGCCAGGCGAAACGTTGGATTTACTTCAAATTATTTCGCTGAGATTTTTACAAATACATTCTTCCTCTTTAATTTCATTATTGTTCTAAAATCTCAGAATTTTATTAGAATTTTACTTATATAAATGATTTAAGTAATTAAAAATAATTAGAAGAAATTAATCCATAGGAGGGTCAATTATCCTAACACTATTTCAGAGACACATTTTTGAGTTCTAATGTGTTTTGAGCAATAATCTTTTCAAAATTGTTAAAACAATAGGCATTTTACTTAAACAAAGAAAAAGACAGATATTCAGAACACTTTAGTTTTCATCGATTCCCCAATTAAAGCTAATTCATAGTTTAACAACTCAAATTTCAATCTTTTTTGTTGTTGTAGAAATATAGCTACTGGAGTAGTGAACTTCCAAAAACGTTTATTTCATTTTATTTAGGTTACTTCAAAGTCTTTATATCATTGTATTCAGTACAAATATGTATGTAAATGAATCGAAGTAAGGACTATAACTGATTAGTCTCTTTTGTCATATACGCATCTTGAGCGAATTATCTCTATATTGTCATTAAATGAAGATTTAGTAAGGTTGGATTTTGGTTAGTAATAGAACACAAGGTGCATATGTCGTTCTAATTGGGACTCATCAACTAGATGTATCTGGATCTACTATCCAAGTTTGATCAAAAATGATTTCGCCTGTCAGTTCAAAATCCATATATTCCAAAAAGCACTAATTGATTACAGTGCTTACTATCAACAGTAGAAAGATTCAAACATTCACCAATACACATACTTGATGAACTACAATAAATGATTGAGAATTTTAACAATCTAAGAAAGAACAAAATAAGTTGAATGAAAATGAACTGTTATTTAGAAACAGGTTTGTTAACTTTCATCATGATCTAATAATTTTGTATGGATAAGTTATAATTTTAAATAATAGTAATTACTATAATTATTAATTCGGGTTGATTTATTTTATAATCTAATTATTTTCATATTCTAAATATCTTCGACCATGGTGCTTATTGTAGCAGAGAAATAAGTTCTTTCATCAGTCATTCTTTTTGATTTATGATACATAGAATGTCTACTAAATGAGAAAAAGTCATGGTTAATCTAATTAATGATCAATTAGATTTGATAGAGTGATTCGTATAATTGTAAAGGGTCAATTATGTAATTGTTATAGATAGTATAATTTCATAAAGCATGCATTAATTAGAAGAAAATAAAAGTAAATTTTAAAACTAATTTTATTGATTGAATGAAATGGTTAAGTTAGTATTTTATGTTTATGATTACGGTATTCAACTTTACGGAGACATTATTGAGATTCTTATGTAAACTATTGACTTGTGTGAAATTGATCAGTCAAAATGTTGATATATATTATCGTCTATGAAATTTTGGGAATTATTATGATACCAAACAAGTTAATTAAAAGGAACTAATTATGTGGATGTGACCTGAAATTTCTCATATGGAACTCTTCTGGAAATAAATAATTATATATGTTTAGTTGCAGCTCAGACAGCTTAATGGGAGTGTTACCGGTAGTAATACATTTTGAAAAAGGTTCACATCTCATGAAAATATCAGTTTCCTCAAGACTATAGATACGCCTTATCGAAGGATAGCAATCGGCGGGAAACCTAGGTCCAGAGTATCTTGTTGTTAACCCTGATTTTTAATAGTTCTCTAGCTGACGGCAATTTTCATTGAAAATTCCTAAAAAATATAATACTAACATGCTTTCTCCTAAATATACTAATGTTGTAAAGATCTCTTTCTGCTGTTATCTATATTATTCAGTTTTACTCTTGAAAACACTGGGTATGTTATCAATAAATTCATGAACAAATAATTGTACCATCAATATTCTACACCATTACGGAAAATGATTTTTAACTTCAAACATAGTAGGTTTGAGTCATTTACTCATCAAATACGTGGAAACTTGATCTTATCATTTTGTAAATTGATTAACATTACAAATATGAATCTTTTAAAACATTCTTTTTCATTTAATTCTGTTAGGTTTATCATCATTTTGTGCAAACTGGTGGATACATACTGAATTAGATTCCTAAAGAAGAATGGAACAATTATTCAATGCTTCCTAATTTTATGACAATTACGAAAATAATCAATATATTTTTGTTGTTAAAATTTATCTTTTTATGTTTTTGTTCCATTATTTGATTATTATTATTTAAATTAAAAGTGAATATGGAAAATTTAGAGAAAGTAGAAAAAAAGAAAAAGAGAAGAACACATAAATAAAATAAAAGAATGAACAACAACTCAATAACAATGAGAGTAAAAATAAATAAACTTGAGGCTAAAATCAATAACGAGCAGGAAAATAAAAACTCCCGACTTAAATATTAAACTTTTTAAGCATTCTCTGTTTATTTTATGAACATTTAATGAAAATAAGCTAAAAATAACGAGTTTCTTTTAAAATAATTTCATACAAGTTTAATGATGACAATGATAAATGGAATTAAGATTTAAGATCATATTCAGCTGATCTTATACCGAATGATGGTAGTACTTTACTGTGAATCGATTGATCATATCAATATTACATTATATCATAATCTGAATTAGATCATCTTAATGATTGTTTTGTTTTATATTTATCCATCAGACAGAAATTTATACAAGAAAATTGTTTTAAATTAATACATTTTAAATTTTAAAAAATTCAACATTAAGGAAGCCGAAGAATACAAGAGGATGATTATTTAAAGGACTGTTGTTCACAATGTCGATATTCGTCTTAGACAAACAAATAAATAAATGATTAAACTTTATAATTTTTTTCTTTCCATTAAACAAATGAGTTAATAAAATACCTAAGCAAAATAAATTATACATTTAATATACATGATTGTGGTCATACGCATAAAAATTACTAACACACAGTTATTAAACAATGATCCAAGTAATTTATCAACAAGCAGAACAAACAATGATAATAGTAAAAAATACTTTTACATCAAAGTTAACCACTACACACGAATTCATCTTTTATTTTTTTTAAAAAATTACATAAACAAAAGCGTTTATGAGTCGTGAAGCAGAAAAAGAAACAAAATGGGCTAGTTTATTAACATTATTTTACTTGTCCGAATAGTCATTATGAGATACATTCATACTGAAAGTAAGATGTCAATTATGTATGCGTATGTACGTGATCAAGTATAAGAAAAAAAATGTCAGTTACATAAAAATAACAATAAAGCGGACTGGATTAAATGAATAGAAACCCAAAAAGACAAAATAAAATAGATAAGATGAAAAATGTTCTCTTTTAAAATAATAATACATGTATGATACATTTTCACATTGTGATGGATATAAATTTTTCACTTATTTGATAGATAGTTAGATAGCTATCTATTGTTTGTGATCTGTTGATGAATTAGGGAATGTCATAATTTTACGAAATGGTGCATAGGGAATTTGTGAGGCAGGAGGAGGCATTCCTGGTTTTGTTTCAATTGCTGGAGGTAAATTTCTATATGGATTAGGTCGTAAAGTAAAACTTGTTTTTGTCTGATTTTGTCTATTATCCATCATTCCAGTAATTATTGTTTCATTAGTACTTTGTAATGGAATTTGTGATTGAGATAAATGTGTCATAGGTAGTCTATCCGTGGAGTCGGTAAATCCTGGATTATAGTCCGGTGGTGTAAACGGTGGTCGTTCGTTAATTAATATCATTGGTTTTGTAGGGGATAAACATGTTCTATCAGATCCAGTTGAAGTGTTTCCACTGTTCATATTGTCTACAGTTGAAAAAGAAAGCAGATTATAAGTGTAATAATCTTTTTTTATATTTATATACTAAAGTATCTATTTATAAGGACTCATTTTATTTCTTATGAATATGATTATAATTATGATTAAAATATAAGATCAGTAGTATGTGTGAAATTGATTTCTTCGACCAAGAACAAATTAATTGAAATACGACTTAAGTAAAAAAATATTTCGTTTCAATAAGCTCTTTATTATGGTTCAACAATAATATAGTTCTAGGTTTGAAAGTAAAATCATTCAATAAAATGATGACGAGTAAATTAACATGATGCTAATGTGACTAATGATAAGTCGAAATATGAAGAAGGAAGAGTTAATCAGTTGATTATTAAGACTCATTACATATTAACGAAGATGCAATAGGATCTGTGTTCAAGAACCCGTCAATTATCTCCAATGACAACATTAGAGCAAAGATGAACATAAATGAAAAGTTTAAGTATATGTGTGGGGTCATTTTGATGGGGAGGGCAATTTAAGAGGTTGTAGTGATAATTTTTGATGCAAAATGTAAGGTCTGTTTGTTTGAATTCCTATAATTTGTGTTGTGTGTTGGAGACGATATCTCAAAGTATGGGGGAAATCAGATTGATGCTGATATATAGTTTTAAATGCTACATTTACCTTGACTTAATGGACGGTGTCAACTAAAGGTGTATGGGTACAATGTACTATTGTTTGTCTTTATTCTTTGCTTTTATATGAATAGTGATTTTCTAACACAGTGTTCCTTAAACTTAAATGTACTCTTACGTCATTTGCATCTACATTATGTGATCAGTCTTAATAATCGACTGACTGACTTTTTTATCTCTGGACTCCGATATATTATTATTATCAAGTTAATTTACTCATCAATTCTCTGGTATTGCTTTTTTATATTCAATATTGAGTTGTATTTCTAATGTCCGAATGGAAATATATTTAAATTAGTAGTGTTTAAATCACATGGTATTAAAAAAGCCTTATTTTATTTTTACAGATTTCCTCAGTGGTTTATTTGTTGAATATTTACATATTTTCGGTGAGTAACCACCCACACCTGACACGAATTAGCTCCATTAGTCAAGACTTCTCACTATACCGGTTCAGCAAAGTTAATTAGTATTATTATGTAAGAAATAGGAAAGTGTAAACAAATTTATTTTAATTTTCACCATTATTAATACTTTAACAATTACTATTAATATTAGAAAAGTAAACAAAATGTAGGTTATTGTATGATTAGTTAAATTTGATCAAATAAATGTTTTTAAGTAATTTCTAGGTAATTTACAATAAGAAAGAAAGTGAACACCAACTGTTCATCCTAATTATGTCATTTTTCATAATCAGACAGAACTGGAAGATTCTACAAGGTCTTTACTAATGATCTGTCACATATAATAATGTTTAGATTTAAACATCGATTTTATCACTTAACTATGATGAATCATGATACTAACATGATCATATATGCAGTTTATAAAATTATATATCTTATCATTCAGTCATCTATCCTTTAGGGTACAGTTTCAACACTTGCATAATAGAAAAAGTGTATTATTTATCGATAGCGAGACTAAAATTTATGGACGAACCAATCACGTATAAAATAACAGGTCTCGGATTTTGGTACGAAATTCATTCAACATATGTGGCTAAATAGAGTTTTGGCATCATAGTTGATGTCAGTTCGTCATGAAAACCTTAAATCTAATTTCCAACCTTAATCATTAACTGTAAATCATATTTCTAATTCTTCACACAGGTTTGTAACCCTCATTTGGTCCTGGTTATTAGGTGAACACTCTTAATATCAGTCTAGCGTCGCTCAAAGGTCATCCATAAATTACAGTCTCACCCCGTCAGTTAGTAATTCAGAAAATAAATGTCTGTCGGATAAATTATGTCAACAGAGTGGAAATCTTAGTGTACACTGTCAGATGAACATGTAGTCATCAAAATGCATAAGTAAAACACAGACTGAATTATAAAGCTTCTAATGTATTTTCTATATCTTCATATCCAGAATCTGCACACATAAACAAAGTAATTAAGTATATTTTAGAATATTCTATACAAAAATTATAATATAAATATATCCTAATGTAAATGAACAAATGGGCGGTATCACTAATTCGATTTATAAAATTATTGAAGTATATTAGTCTTATATGGTGATAACTTTAAACTGGACACATTCAATTTATCCAACTGTGTTGTAGTAATAATGAATGCTCATCTAATTCCAATCAATGTTATGTTCATAAACCTAAGCATCACAAAATGTTAATTATTAAATGATAACTATTAAAAGAAGTTGAGTTTTGTTACTATGTTAAACCTAAAAATTATTATCATATCCTGGATATAGAATCACATATGATTCACATTATTGGAAAAATTGAAAATTACAGAACAAACTCACCTGGTTTTGTATTTTTTGACTGACGACCATTACTAGTCAACTTTTTTGGACTAGTTATTGTTGTTAACATTTTTTCAGTTTCTAGATTTACAACACTATGTCCACTGTTAACAATGGACGTATGCGATGTTAATCCATCTGTACATGATCTACCATTTTTACGATACCATACAAATGCTAATATACCTAATAATAGTATAATAAGTGATATACAAACTGGTAAAAGAGTCCCAAGTAGAATTATTCTTGATCCATTCATTTCATCCGGTATAGATGAAGTTGATAACGATGATAGTGATGAAGATGATGATGATACAGATGAACCAACATCAACTAAATCTTTATATTCTCTCCTATTTTCATAATTTGAAATAAACATTTCATGATTATCTTCAAATCCAGGTCCAGGTATGAAAATTGGTGGAGCTTCTGTGTATGAAAAAATAAAAAATATATACTCAAAGAATTAATTATTAAAATAAATGAAAGTAACTCCTAGCAGTATTCGTAAAACAATGGACATATTTATCAAAATTCTACCAGTTGCATTCATGAACTACATATTATATAGAAAACTAATTAAATATAATTAGTTTTCAATTAATAACAAGTTTCAATGAAACACGATACCGTCGTGCATGTAATGATTTTGTTCCATATTGGCCAAAGAAATAATCATTGAATGAATCTTGTTACTTCAGAAAATTGAAAAATAAACCAAGAGAAATGCTCAGAAAGGGGTTTTGTGGATCATGAGTCAATTGAAACTGGACCACTATAGAAAACCTAAAAGCACTGGACGGCTGTTTTGTCCTATTTCAGGACTCCTCAGCAGTGCACATCCACGATCCCGCCCTGCGAGATTCTAATCCAGGACCTATCAGTCTTGCTAGTGACGGTCTCCATGTAAAATTGTTAGTTGCATATTTTAACTAACACATTCAATTATTATTTTATTTTGTTTTGAAAACTCTTATTAAGCGAAAAGTGATTGTGTATTACTTGTCGTTTTCTTTTTTTTCTCAGCATTTCTTTTTAATGTTCTATAACTAGTAGTATACATTAAATGAACAATTAAACATGTGTATTTTCCGGTCATTGATCATAAATAAAAGAAAAATTAGTATCAGAAGGAGTTTTGTGGAGATTGTAGTAATTTCAATAGTTGAGAGTAATAATCAATTGAAACTAGACCGCCATGGAAAACCTGGAAGTACTGGACGGCCGTTTCGTCCTGTTGTGAGGCACCTCAGTGATAGTGGGCATCCACGACCCCGCGTCGCGGGATTCGAACCGAGGACCTATCAGTCTGGCGCGTGAGCGCTTAACATCTAGACCACTGAGCTGACTGGCATCCAACGATGTTAATGTCTAAAATAAATTGTACTCAATAATTACATAAATAACAGTTTGTGTTATAAACAATTATTTATTAATAAATGTATTGATATTCGTTTAAGTTAAATAGAATCCTATAGTTCAATGAGTATTAGGATAATTAACAACTAATATAATATTCATATAAAGTCTTAATAATTTCCAAAAAAACTATTCAATATTTATAAACAAAAAAGAAATCAATTATAATTACGTTGTGCTTGAATACAAGGACCAAGTCGTTCAATTTGTATTTCATCTAATTGACCTACACCAGCTTCTTTTAAATGTTTTATAAAATCTATTGATGGTTGTTGTAAATCTTTTCTTATTTCTGATAAAAGACGATTTTCTAATTTTATTATTTCTTTTTCAGGACAATTTATTGTAGTAAATAAATTACGTTTATTTCTATAGACATTTTTATATTGTTCATGAATAGGTTTAGTAAAATGAATAGTTGATAATGAAGATTGACAATTATCATAATGATTATTACATTTTGATTGTTTATTTAATTGTAAAGAAATTCGATTAATATCTATATTACGTTTAACTGTATGATGTATATTTTTAGACCACTGATTCCAATATTCTTGTTGAGTATAAGAATCCAATAATTCTGTTGTTTTGTTAAAATTAATATTTTCAGTAAGAATTAAAATAGATTTTTGAGCCCATATAACAGAAAATCCAGATGCTATAATAAAAAGTATTCGGGAAAAACAGAATAATATAGTAAAATGATAAAACAATAGACTTAGTATAAGCAAAGATGGATAGTTACTAGCAGGGGGATCCATAATGCGCGTTTCGTCCTACTTGGGACTCGTCAGTTGGATGTACTTGCATCATAGAGTTGATGTTCACTCTGGCAATCGAATCCAGTACCGTTGGCTTCAAACAGCATTGCGTTACCTACTTAGCTACGAAGTCCTGATAACCACTTGCTTGTGCAATGGGATGAAGTTTAAATTCACTTGGTAAATTAAGACAATGTCGAGGCCATACTCACATTATGCACATATGCCAATAAGAGACTGATCAATTTCAGTCCTAAACATCAATGGGAAGATTCAAGTAAAGAATATCAAGTGAAATGAACTCAGTATTCTTTTTAAAATTGATCAGACGAATATCTTAATGTAGTGTTACAACTACATTTAAAAAAGTTGATGTTCCAATAGTTTCCATAATGTGGTCAAAAGTTTTATGAATTAGTTTATAACTACGATAACCTGTGGAATATATTTTAATCGTCAATCAGCATACAAATCTCTTTCACATGCGTCATAAATTGTTCGATAAAATTCGATCACTGCTAATGTTTAGGAATATTAACACTGTTTACTAATCAGTGAATGGATATTTTAAACTCCATATCCTTTTATAATGGGATTTTCGAGGTAACCTGTTTGATTCTCACATCAATGGACTCAGATTTGTGTCTTTGAATTAAAACCAGTTTTTTACATGTTACATGTTTTCTACGCTCATAAATTTCAATCAGCACAAAACTTAGGTTCAGAAATTGTAACTGATGTCTTTCAACTATATGATATCGACATTTATTCACAGTTTGCATATTAGTTTCTGTGCCAAGCATATTTATTATTTAAGTTTGAAAAAATGATTATGAATCTTGAAAATTCGTCTATTTCGAACAGCAGGATAATTCTCAAACTCATTTGTACACTAACCAACTGATAAGAAGTGTATAGATCTTAGAATCATTAAAATTCACTAAAGCATTATGGATATATATATATATATATATATATATATATATATATATATATATATATAGTTTTTAGGAATAATTATCGAAATTATGAGTCGTTTGAATTCAATTTGGTTAAAAATAACTTTAGAAATAGAATTGTTTTCAATACAATCCTCTCAATTATGTAATTTTATGCAAACTACTATATTTGATAGGGTGTATTGAAACAGAGGAAACTTTGTTAGAGTTATACTGACAATTACTATTTTTATTTTTAAGGTGACTCTAATACTTTTGTGTGTGTCAAATAATAATTAGACCAGAGTTCAATAAGGTAATTTTCTGAGGGTGAGTTCGTGTTTTCCGAAGGAGATTTTCATTAACTAGGATTGACTAGAGTACCAGAGAGGGTTGAACGGTCTTTCCATCCCAGTTTGGAGCTACGCAGTAATGTGCATCCATCCATTCAAGTGATATTGAATTCAAAACATTCCGGATTTTTAGTGACTATGACATTTTCAAAGCACAAAGTTTGAATTCAATGGTTACTATTTCCAACTATGGTCTGTTTATAATACAGTATGATCTTCACTCGATTTCATCAAGAAATTACTGTTTCTTTCTCAACTTTGGAGTATTACTTTATTTCTAGAAATTTAGTAGTTCATTTATGCTATGGTATGTTGAACTTAAGGTCCAGAGTTTTAATCTTCACATACCTTGGTAGTTAAGTGTAAGTAAAATAATATCCATATCATTTCTACATATCATGCTTCCCATACAATGAGGTCTAAGGTAGTCATCCAAAGCTGAAATTAGTAGCCATCTATCTACTAGACTATGTCCTCCTGTCCATGGTCGACCATGATCTGCGCTAAAATGCATTACTACACGATGATTGAAATTTGTTGGCAGTTGTGGATTGGATCCAGCCACATAGATTGAAAATTGAACGCCCACATTCTTTTCTGGATTATCCGTTATACTAAATTAAAAAAGGTACACAGAATAAATGCCAAACATTCCAAGTTACTGCAAAATAATATAAAACTTTATTTCACATTTTAAAAAAATAAAACATTCTAATTAAGTTAGGCTGTAACTAGGGGATGGGATGCATGACAAGGGTTTTGTTCTGCTTAAAACTCGTGAGATGAACATTCCTGTGTTTCAGTGTTAGTGCTCACACCGCAACTCGTACTTGGCACCTTTTCGTTCAAACTCACAGCGCACTATCGATTGAACTGTCCAGACCAGACAATCACGTGGATGCACAATGAGTGTGTAACTTGTTTGTAGGGATTTAGATGTCAAGGACTGCAATTCATCAGTCTTTTTTGGAATATATACATCCTGATTGAATTGCCCAGATACTGCCGACAGAGATTGATCAATTTCAGTCTTTAGCACCGACAACGGGATAATTCGAGCATCAACGGTAAATTATTGAGAATAGTTTACCGTTACAGAAATGACTCTGTCAGCAATTAAATCAAACTCTATTAGCCATTTCTAGTTGTCAAAGATTAGTAAAAAGTATCTATCGACTGTTTTTGAGCATTCATATTAAAATTTCATTTTTAAATTATATCTTTAAGCAGTGCTAGAAACATTATCCATTGATCTAATAGCTTTCCATTAGCACCGGTGAATCGTCAAATTACTATTTGTGACAGAAGGGGTTTTTGTGGACATTATAGTAATTTAATAATTAAATTCATGAGTCAATTAAAGCTAGAACACAATGAAAACCTGGAAGTACTGGACGGTCGTTTAGTCTTATTGTGGGACTCCTCAGCAGTGCTCATTCATGATCCCACCTCGCAAGATCCGAACCAAATACACACCGGTCTCGTGCGCGAACACTTAACATTTAGATTACTGAGCCGGCATTCAAATGAAATTTTACGAGTTGTTCAGTGGTGTTTATATCGTATTTCAAATTTTATAATGTTAACTATTAAATCTAAATTCTTAAAATATTCGTCCTGAAAGAATTTCACCGAAGAAAAAAATAACTTTATCTAAATTTCTAGTAATAATTTTCAGAAAAAAAATCCATTATTCAACTCGGAGATTCTATAAATGTAGAGTTTTCTATTTGAAATATTTGTACATATTGAATGTAGTGCTGTGATCAAATAAAATATTAAAATGACAATGTGTTACTTGTTATCTTTAAGTAATCTGAAAAGTTGCCGTTTTTCCGTTTTGAAAATACTTTAAGTTTGAGTGGTAAAGAAAAGTTTAGAAAAAATGCATCAAAAGTATTAAAAAAGAACAAATAATACAACTGCTATTATTTATTATCTACTATTTGTCTCAGGTATTTCTTTTTTATGCATAAGAGTGGTCTTTTTTAAAGTTTTATGTTTTAATTGAATAATTTCTCATTTATACTTAAAATGGTGCACAAATAGATTGAACTGAGATAGTAGTTAAAAGTACTTCCAAAGCATCAGGGTTATATTACTCTGATGATGAGAATATGTGATAAACTTTCATTTACAACTAACAGTGATGAATCATGAGATATGAATATAAGACTTTCAATATTCAGTTGAAGTCAATCGCTAAACGGTCTTGGTATTGTTTTACTTGGATCTTTCCATTGATGTTTAGCGCTGCAATCGATCAGTCTGTTATTGGCATATGTGAATACTATGCGTATTGCTTTGATATAGCCTTAATTCACAAGTATTATATGCAAAGATGGATAGTGATTAGCAGTGGGATCCATAATGCGCGTTCCGTTCAATTTGGGACTCGTCAGCTGGATGTACCTGCATCTCAGAGTTGATGTTCAGTCTGGGACTCAAACCCAGTACCGCTTGCTTCAAACGCAATTGCCTTATCTTTTCAGCTTATCTTTAATTGTTATTTTTATCTGCTAGTTTGGCCTACCATTTAATGAAGTATCAAGATTTCAACTTTTATAAACATATCAGAATTATACAACCAGTTTGAATTTTTAAAATGAATTGCCATTAGATCAAACACATTCATAGGAAACATCAAAAGATGACAAAAAACAATCGAGAATAAATCAATAACTATATGATAACAAATATCAACTTATTCTTTATATATGACAAATAAATGTATGTCATAATCGATAACGTGAGATAGGTGTTACTTAAAGTGACATACATTTTACCCTCATCATTATATAGCTATTCTACTCTGGAAGTAGATTGAAATTAGGCAGTAAATTTGATTAGAAGAAGAGCAGAATAAGATGAAATCATTTGTTCCATGAGTTCCCTTCGTCTACTGATAATCTAGATATGATAATAATACTAATAATTTAAAATATAGTGTACATATTTTACAACATTATAATATCGAAAAAAATTCTGATCAATAAAACTTAACAGAAAATTAAAAAGTATGGAAGAATTATTATAGTTGAATATTTATGTTAAATCAAGTGAACATTTCGAAGGTTGAATATTATAGAAGACAAACTAAAAGCATAGAAACAGAACTGTTTATAAAAGATTAGTATTATAGTTATGTCATACTAACTAGATACATAGATTACATACGAATTAAGTAAATACAATCGGTATCATAGTAAAAGATTATGTAACGGGACATTTGAAATGAGATTATCATAACAGAACAACGATGGGTAAATTTAATTTAAGTCTTTTTATAGCTAATACTTTAACAAAATGTAACGAATAAAACTTGTTCCGTTTTAATAGTTTTTGTTAGAATATTTAAAGACTTAGTACATGTATTCATTTTGTTGTACTTCTACCCAATGGTTTAACAAAACGCTTAAGACATTTTTCTAATGAATTCCATAATAATTCTAATAATCCGTTGGTCAAGTTAACTAAAACACTTTTGTCGCATATAAATTTGATGAGGTAAATTCATTTATTTTTTACTTTATATTTCTTATAGTTTTATAAACAAATATTTTTACATGGAAATACTAATTTCAACAAAACTATTACATTCAGATTAAGTAGTTAACATTACCAACTGGTCTTAGTCCGAAGCTGTGACCAGTGAATTTCAACAGTATCAGTTGTGAGGTAAGTGTTATTAAAAGTAGTAGATGATAGTGGAGCACTAATTTGAATTCATTAAAATTAAACATGTCAGCCGTTGGATATTAACTCACTGGCCGAGAGTACAATCAGTCATTACGAGGAATGAAGGCTTTGGGTTCAGTCTCCATTCATAACATATCTTTATTGTTTAAATCACGAAACCATCTTAGCCAAACCATTATTGAAAACCTGGAAACACTGAACGGCCATTCGGCCTTAGTACAGGACTCCTCAGTGATATATGTTCAAGACTCCACATTCGATCAGTTCGAGATTTAAACTATGAAAATTATGCAACCTCCAGAAATTCCCGTATATCACTACAAAGATATTTGTTGACTAATTAAATCTATATTTATCATTTTAGAACTTACTGAAATTTATGACTTGATGGTTGAACAGAATTACCAATAATGATACCAAATATTGTTGATTTATCTTTCTCTAAACCAATCCAATGTGATGAACCTACTTGTCTGCCACCTTAAGGAAAAACAAATGAAAAAAATAGAATAATTTATGTTTATTCATTTGATCAGATTTTGAATCATTGTAACTTTGTTCCTTTGTCCAAAAATTCAACTGTGAACAAAATAATTTTAATAGTTGGATTCATGAGTCGATTTAAACTAGACCACCATTGAGAACCTAGAAGCACTGGATGGTCATTTCGTTCTGGTATGAGACTACTCAGCAATGCGCATCCACGATCTAATATCTAATTTCAATCGACCTATGATATTGCACGACGCTTCTTCCATTGTCTGAGGTAGATATCTATTTCTATTTGATACTTATAGGTCTCTTTACTGGCTCAATCAAAATGTCTAACGTAATAATCAGACCAACCTCAGTGGTAGAACTTACTTCAATACACGTAATTTTAGCATAAAAAATAATTTTTTGTGGTCTTTTCATCGTTTTATGAAGTATACATGATCTGGATCATGTTACCATAATATTTTCAGTATAAGAAACAGTAGTTTTTATTATTCATGATACTCCACTACCAATTCATCTACCTGTCAGGATAGATATTTCACTATAAATTTGGATATATACAAGAAAAGGAAACTATTTCAAAATAGTTACTATCTACTCTTCACTTATTTTCATTTCTACTGTATACTGATAACTTCTAAGATTTAAATGACAATTTCTTTCATTATAAGCATTCTTCAAATATTAAGGAGGAAGAATATATTTATAAAATGAATTTGAAGTAAATCCAACATTTTACCTCACAATCTGGTCTAAACGTCTTCAATGAAATATAATCAAACATCAAAATGATCGAATATCATTCTTCAAATAGACAAATATTTTTGTCAAGAATTCTGTACTTCAATGTTAAAGAATATGATAAATTTTCAAAATACTTAAAAATATTACTACTTACCTATATCATATAAATGAACATTGCCTCGAGACATTGTTGCCAATGTATCGTCATTTACTATTTTACGTCGAAAACCTTCACCTAATAAAAAAGTTAATATAAGGAAAATTTAATGATAATTTTATGTTTATAATATGTACACTTTTATATTCACTATTTATTTACAAAGTTATTTTTTATTGTATTCAGGTAAATATTTCTCAATTTCTTCTATACTTCGTGTATAGATTAAAAAGAACCCCCTAATTTAATAAACTATCTATCACACATTCAATAATTTTTCATCATCAAAGCTTTATTAAAACAAATAGAAATGTTAAGTTTCAATATTTTACTTATTATGGTAGAACAAAATTACACTGAAGATAGAAACATTAGATGATGATGACGACAGTAGTGTCTTTCATGTATTATGAAGATAATTTTTATTATGAACTGAAGTCAACTAGATAATCACAAATGGTTTATTCTAGTATGCAAACTCCGCAATAGTAATAGGTACCTAAGATTACAAAGCGTTTCTAATTTTTAATGTTCCAAGAAATGATTTCTAAAATAATAATAACTAAACGCTATGTTAATGTTAACATTGTCTGTCAGGAAGCATGAGTGTGTGCATAGAGTAAAGAGAATATTAAGATATTGATACAAAATTGTATAAATCATTGATAAACTAGGTGGACAATTCAGATAATATGTTAAATTAAAAGAATGACTAATAACAATACGGATATAAATCGTTAATAACTCCATCTGTAGCTATTCTAGAGTTATTACCTGTTTCAAGCGTGGGTAACTGAGGAGGGTTGGGCGTGGGGTCAGCAACCCAAACTCATAGATAACCACCTTGCTGAAGAAACACCAACCAGATTAAACTCTGCCCTGGGAGTTGAAGGAAGAATTATGACGCTTCACAATGAGAGCCGAAATTCTTCAGAGGTGACGAGACCTGTGACTCTTCTAACAACCAGATCAACAACTTTTATAGGTACATGGAACGTCCGGACTATGTAGGAGACCGGGAGGACCAGCTAAATAGCAACGGAAACGAGGAGATACAACTTGGTCGTACTCGGAAACACTAAAAAACTGGGCAAACATCAATACAAAGGTTCAATACAGACTTCCTTCGACACGCTGACAAACTCAACAAGTTCAAGATAACTCTCAACAACAGGTTCCATGCTTTACAGTATCTACTGAAAGAAGAATCTAGTATGGAGGACAACTGGAAAGAGATCAAAGAAGCGCTGACTTTAACGTGTCAGGAGGTTCTTGGTCGCAAGAAGCGTCATCAGAAGGAATGGATCTCTATCGAAACCCTATACAAGATTCAAGAAAGGAAGAACAATAAGCCAGCATCTAGCAACAACCGAACAAGAACAGAGAAAGTAAAGGTACAAGATGGATTTACAGAAGTTAACAAGCAAGTGAAGAGGAGTATTAGAGATGACAAGCAGAAATACGTGGAAGAGGTAGCAACGATAAGGGAAAAAGCTTCAAGAGAAGGGAATGTGAAACAACTATATGACACGATGAAGAAACTAGCAGAGAAATATTGCAAACCAGAGAGACCGGTCAAGGACAAAGAAGGAAAGTCAATCACTGGAACTCAAGAACATAGGAACAGATGAATGGAACACTTCAAGGAACTCTTAAATAGACCAGCTCCATTAAGTTCATCGGAGCAGCACACGTAGACCCTTTTATAGATGTCACTCTGTGCTGTGTGCTACTGATGTCGACAGATATAAGTAGTATGTATCATCAGTCGAAAGTGAAATGCCTGTTGGCAGAAGGTTAAGAAGATCGGAGTAAAGAGAATGAGAACAGAGAATGATTGTCGTGGAAGCGAAGACATAATGAAGTCTGAAACGATTGATTGACATTTTGCAAATGAAGTATTTACCATATGGTTCTCAGATTTTACTAAGACGTTCTGTAAATTTGTGTTCAAATACATTCGATTTTCCCCACTTGTGTTCTCGTTGACTGCAACTCTATCGAAAAAGTTAGGATGGCCATCAGACGAGTCAAGAGTGGGAAAGCAGCGAGATCTGACAACAGATCAGCCGAAACACTGAAGTCAGGCATACAAGCAACTGAAAAGATGTTCCACTTTCTATTCGAAAATATTTGGGAGGCAGGACAAGTGTCACTGACAGACTGGAAAGAATATTACCTCATCAAGATGTCAAAGAATGGATATCTGAGTCAGTGTGAAAACTAAAGAGGCAACACACTACTATCAGTATCAGGAAATGCTTTCAAGAGAGTGCTACTGAACCGAACGAAAAATATAGTAGACTATCATATTCGAGATCGACAGGCTGGATTTCGTAAGGATTGGTCGTACACAGATCATATCGTGACACTACCGATCATCGTTGAACAATCGATTGAATGGGACTCGTAACTATACTCCAACTTACTTGCTTATAAGAAAGTGTTTTACAGTGTGGATAGAAGAACCTTATTGAACCACCTTCGACATTATGGTGTAGCTGAGAAAATTGTCGACATCTTCCGGAATTCATTCGACAAATTACAGTGCAAAACGGTACATACATGACAGCTGACAGACGCATTCCAAGTAAGGACCAGATTCAAACAAGGTTGTCTACTCCCCTCCTTTCTCTATCTCTTAGTGTTTGACTGGATTATGAAGACCTCGACATCTAAGGGAAATCACGGAATACAATAGACGGATTGGATGCAACTAGACAATTTGAACATCGCAGGTAACCTAAACCTTTTATTCCATACACACGAACAAATGCAGATGAAGACAACTAGGGCAGCAGTAGCCTCTTTAGCACTAGGCCTCAACATACACAGGGGAAAAGACAGGATCCTCAAATACAACATGGAGAACACCAACCCAATCACACTTGATGAAGAAGCTCTGTAAGGTGTGTAAACTTTCACGTATCTGGGAATCATCATCGATGAATGAGGACGATCGGATGCAGACGTGACAACAAGGATTATCAAGGCAAGGGCAGCATTTCTACAGTTGAACATATGCGACCTAAAACAACTGTCAACCAATACCAAAGTGAGGAACTTTAATGCGAATGTCAAGACAGTCCTAATGTACGTATGGAGCTGAGGTTTGAAGAGTTACCACAATTATCTTCAAACATGTGCAGGTATTTCTAACCAATCGCTTACACGAGCAACTCAATGTCCGTTGGTCGTATGCCATCAGAAACAAACTACTGTGGGAGAGAACAAACCAGCTTCCGATTGAAGATGAAATTAGGAAACGACGTTGGAGGTAGATAGAACGTACATTACGGAAATTATCAAACTGCATCATGAGGCAACCACTGACTTGAAGTCCTGAAGGGAATTAGAGAAGCGGAAGACAGTGGAACACATTGCGTCGAAAATTGGAATAAGACATGAAAAGGATGAATAGGATGTGAAAAGAACTGGGAAGTATTATCCAGAATAGAGTTGAATGAAGAATGCTGGTGAACGGTTTATGCTCCTATACGAGGGGTAACAGGCATAAGTAAGTAAATGGTAAATACACTCATCCTATTTAATCAGAAAAGCGATTCATTATTTTACTGAAATTCAGTTTTTTGGTCTAGTTGGTTTAAGCGTAAAGGTTTCAGTTACGTTCTAGGCAAAATAGATAATAAAACCTAAGGACTAGTACGATCGTAAGACAATTTAAGAATTTCTCCTTAAGTATGGTATGTATATACTCATTCTAAAATAATTTATTGATCTATTAACATGTTGTTTACTTAGTCATAAATGTTTCACAGTAATCCTCAGAGGTCTAAATGTTCAAATCTTATACGGTGCCGAAAAAAAGAATTATTAGCTTCATACTACAAAATAAAATTTAATCTTTACATTTTCAAATATTATCAGCTGATAGTCAAACAAAAATATTGAAATTAGAATGATGGCAAATTTCGGAACAACGATAAATCCATATACTCATGGACCTCTGTTTTTAGTTTGTCAGTAATGTTTTATATCAGCAATTTTCTATGAGGTTGTTAGTAGTTCACTTTGGTTGTCATGACATGCAAAGTTACCAACTGTTGTTTATATGACACGCCTTATGTTGCTATCACTTATCGATGAAACTATGCGGCACTTGCTATTAATGACTCAATTTTTTACAATTATAGTTGCATTAATTCATATCATGAACCTCATTTCAAGTCTAAGATTTTAAATAGTGAACCTAACTAGAGTATTTTATGAAGTGAAAATTTATAGATGCTTTATGTAGCTTCTAATGTCAATCATTTTGTTACTCAATCAATCAAACAAAAAATGTTAGTTAGAACACGATCCGATGCAGTATTAAGACAAGCTATTTCATTTTTGATCAAGACATTTTTTATAATTTAATATACATTATGTAAAGTGTGTAATTACGAATCCCTAGTTTATTATATACGTAAAAATGACAAATCATTTAACATGATTCTAAACATACCCGTAAATACTGTGAAATTCATAATCATGTCATTATCTAAACTTGAGAATGAAGAGAATCTGTTTTGAATTGATTGTCCCGTCAGTTCGTGACCTTCGAACTTATTAGTATGACGTGCACAACTTCCCATACGATCAACTACAGCCGCTTCAACTATTCCAAGTTCAGATGATTCGATGTGTGCTCTAAAATGATTCGAAGGTGCTGACCAAGGGGATAGATAAAGTTGACCATCGTTAGCAAGACCAGTAACAAGACCTAGATTTTTCTGAGCTGAAACTAAAGTTGGTGCAAAAATAAGTAAATTTTGTAAATGATCAAATTTTTCCCATGGACAGTTAGACATATTTTCATCTGGTACATCAGTTTGTGATTTTCCTTGTTCTTGAAGCAATGAAAGTTGAGCCCATGTGACCGATAGACTGTTTACATCTGAAAAAAAGAACGGAAAATGAGTTGTAATGTAAATTTGGAAATAAATTTTTAGATTTTAAGTTCCTTCATTATTAAAATTAAACGTTTTTAGAGTATAACATGCATCAACGACGTCATTATTTATCTTATTTCAGTGATATATCGGTGAAAAATATTACCTACACTAACTTTCAAAATTGTTGAAAAGCTTGCTATTATTAGTGTGATGAGGAACAGTTCTATATATTATGGGCTAATAAACAGTATTCTCTGAAATCATGAAGCGACCGATTTTAGACCCCCATTGAAAACTCAGAAACACTGGACGGCCGTTTTTTCAATGGTGGTTTATGATTTCAGTGAAACTTAACAATCTTCACAATCTTATACAGATAAACAGTATTCAACTGATCGGCATTCTCGATTTCTCCATAATGGAAAATCAAGGTACATTGCTTTGGTGATAATGATTTTTGGATGCTAAAACCATGCAAGATAATTTCTGTAGATAAATACTTATTGATTTATCACTGAAATACATTTAATAATGAAATAAATTGATTTATTAATTATTTTTCACATGCTGTTGATAAGATAATTATTTATAAATATAAAATAGGAAGATTAACTTTATTTGTTGTTCATAGACATTGTTTTAGAGTTATGTTAGATGAACTTGAACTTAAATAGAAGACGTCGTGATTACGGAATACATTAATTACGGTGGGTATACAGATATTTATTAAGAATAGAATGAATAAAGCAAATCGTTCTGGGTTTAGTACAGATACAGTTATGAATCTGCTTTTGTTATATTGTTCATAACAAGAAGGAAACAGAACACTATTATCTGAGCTAATATTTTACTGAAAAATAATAGATTATACTGGTTTGAATCTAAAAATATTTTCGTCTGTATTGCATGATCTATAACTCCGCCTGGAGTCCCTCCGGGGTCTACTACCGGTCCCAAGCCCGGATAAAGGAGGAGGGTTGGGCATGGGGTTATCCACCTCATCCCGTAGAAAACTAACTCGCTAAAAAACACGCTAATTAGAAAAAATTTTTCAAACCATTTAAACTCTGACCTGGGAGTCAGAAGGTCTTCATTTAGAAGAGTTATGACGCCTCATGATGAAAGCCGAGTTTCTTCGGAAGTCATGAGGCCGATGCCCCTTCTGACAACCAGAGCAACCATTTATTTAGGTACATGGAATGCTCGTACAATGTGGGAGACTGGGAGAGTTTTCCAAATTGCTGCAGAAATGAGGAGATACACTATAGAGGTGCTAGGGATCAGTGAAACGCATTGGACGCGAGTTGGACAACAACGACTAGCTTCAGAGGAGCTTCTGTTATACTCTGGCCACAATAAAGAAAATGCCCCACATATACAATGAGTTGCATTGATGCTGTCCAAACAAACACAAAATGCACTTATAGGATGGGAATCTCATGGACCAAGGATCATCAAAGCCTCCTTCAAAACAAGGAAAGAGGGCATTATAATGAACGTCATCCAATGCTACGCGTCTACCAACGACTACAATGAAGGCTGCAGTCAATCGTCGAGAAGTGCCCAACAAAGGACCTGACTAGTCTGATGGGAGACCTAAATGACAAGGTTGGAATTGACAACACCGGATATGAAGAGATCATGGGACGAAACGGACTGGGAGAAAATAACGAAAATGGTGAGAGATTTGCAAACGTATGTGCCTTTAATAAACTGGTCATAGGTGGCACTATATTCCCACATAAACGCATACACAAAACCACATGGACTTCACCGGATCACAGCACACAGAACCAAATCGACCATATCTGCATCAACAAAAAGTTCAGGAGGACGATGGAGGACGTGAGAACTAAGAGAGGAGCTGATATAGCATCAGATCATCACTTGCTGGTCGCCAAGATGAAATTGAAACTAAGGAAGCCCTGGACAACGGGGCGGACAATATCACAAAAGTTTAATACGGCTCTTCTTCGAGATACTGACAAACTCAATAAATTCAAGATAACCCTCAGCAATAAGTTCCAGGACTTTCATGATCTACTCAATGGAGAAGGAACTACTATGGAGAGCAACTGGAAAGAGATAAAAGAGACAATCACTTCAACATGTCATGAGGTTCTGGGTCAAAAGAAGCACCATCACAAGGATTGGATCACGGTCGATACACTGGATAAGATTCAAGAAAGGAGCAACAAGAAAGCAGCAATCAATACCAGTCGAACAAGAGCAGAAAAAGTCAAGGCACAGGCTGAATACACAGAAGTAAACAAGCAAGTGAAAAGGAGCATCAGAACTGACAAACGTAAATATGTGGAAGATTTGGCATTGACGGCGGAAAAGGCTGCCAGAGAAGGAAACATGAGACAATTGTATGAAACAACAAAGAAACTCTCTGGAAATCACCGTAAACCAGAACGACCAGTGAAAAACAAGGAAGGCAAGATAATCACCAACATTGAAGAACAACGAAACTTTCACTAAGATCACTAATGTGCGTGACTTGACATAATGTGCACTATGTTAATGCATCAGTTAGTTTGAGGTATTTGACAGAAACTGAACTTTCATGCTAGTTAGCATTCGTCCAGCCACCTAGAATGTCAACATAGTGCATGCAATATCAAGTTATTTAGACTAGTGACTACTATCCAGCTTGATTCACAGGACTCGATCAGTAATTAAAAGACTAGACAAGCATGACACTGGTCACCATTCCGTAATTAACGGATAGTCTATAGTAACCATGATATCTTAATAACCTGTTTTAGTTTCCTTGATAAGCAATAAATGTTCTCATAGTTAATCTTTGTTTTCTATGATTGTATCATGGAGGGGCGAGGAAATTGTTTAAAATTATCATAATTCTTAAGTTGCAGAGTATTTGATATATATATATATATATATATATATATATATATATATATATATATATCAGTATTTTCTATTTGTTCAGTAATCAATTTAGGTGAAGTGTTTTAACTACCACGGCTTCATTTTACCGAGACAATGTCAAAGTAAGTTAACAATCAAATCATTTACTATATACTTTAGATTTCGGAGAAATAATTTTAAGTGAAAGTTATTTTGGAGTAAGTTTATATGATTGAGTTAGCTGCATTGTCTTGTGTCTTGTCTTGAGATAAATAAGTAATCATTAGATTTTTATGATATTTAGTTATAACTAGCTATAGGAACCAATGGAAAAGTTATGTATAGCTGGGGTAAAATGAAGAAATCAAGTAACAGATGGAAGACGTCCCAGTAAAAAAGTAAATCGGTACCTTGAAAAGTTTCTAAAGTTTAGCCCATTCATCATATTTTTGGGTTGGATCTAACAGTGGAATTTACAATAATCATTTTGTACTAGTTTCGACGCGCCAACTAGACGTAACCTAATCTTATTGTTAAAATTTTATGAATAAGACTGAAATTCACTACGTGAATCTTAAAACGATAATCATTTATTCACTAATCTAAGGATTCACAAAAGCCATTAACTCGTATAATAGATTTCAGTCAAAAACGATAAGTGCCGATTTTGAGGCTCAGTGCAAATGTCAACACTGAGTTGAAGATATATCTGGGTGGCATTCCTCAATCAGAAGAAAATAAACACTCTAGATTTCACTTATCATATTCCAAGAAATACAATAAATTTGTAAATACAATCAGTATAAAGGTCTCTGTCCAAGAATATCATATGACAACAAAAAACTGATCAAATTCTTCTTGAATATCAACAGCAGGAAGAACAAATTCTTTTTTTCTTCTTCTTCTTACTACTACTACTAATAATAATAATAATAATGACAATAATGATAATGATAGTAATAACGTTGTGATCTACTTGTTTAAAATTGTTGTGAGTGAACTATATATTTCATTAAAATTAAGTAACTCACTTTCCTTATTTGTTTACATTTGTAATATGATAACTTGTTTGACGTTGAATTAAATATAATCCAGTTTCACATTTATTTATATAATATCAGTGTTGAGAATTAATTCCATTCGACAGAATGAACACAATCTTAGCTTAACGGAGTTGTTCACAGTATACGTATGTGTATAAATATGTTTCATTTTCATTAAACATTAGAATGTGAAGAATTGAAATTTGATGCTGTAACATACAGCTTACTGAAAATTTTCAAAGTAATTATTTGCTTTTCAATAAAATAAAAAATAAAATTGTTCTGTACTTCTGTCAACTGATAGAACTGGAAATTATAAGAATGAACTTTCAGTTGCTTACTAATCCAATAATCGTCATATATAATATTTTAATTTAAGATAGATAGTTGTTATATGAATCATTTACTAATCATTAGTATAAAATAGAATTAATGTCAACTTACTTTGTTGTGTTATCTGCCAGATACCAACGTCTGGATTACAAGGTGGTGAACAATTTGGATGAAGAAATTTATCAATTGCATTTGAAAGTTTCCATCTATAATTTAATGAATTTGATGGTTTAACTGGCCATATTTCAGTTGATTGACTGGTTGATGTTTGAATTGATGGTAAGATACGTAAACGAACACGATGATTTAATTGAAAGGATTTATCTTTTCTCATAGTATCAAACCAATCTTGTACTTCTACTGTAAAGCCAATTGTAATAGGTGTCTTTTGATCAACGGAATGAATATAAAGTCTGAGGTTAAAAGAAAAGAAATACAACATTCCAAAATAAACAATTTATTTATCATATTAAGTGTTTTCTGATTTTCATTCATAATTTCAACTTTTTTTACATTTATTCTTCGAAAAAGTTTCTTAAAGGTTTGCCGTATTTCTGTGACTAGAATGTATAAGTAACGTTTGGATGCCATTCCAGAATTACTATCACACTTCTTTATTTCATGTTAAGATGAGGACGTTCTGGTTGTTGTATATTAACCGAGATTACTTTATTGATTATTATTACAAAAGAGTAGATAAATAAAGTGACTTTATGGACGTATTAGTCTGTGATTAATTAGATTATTTAAATGCCCTTACACTTTTCTTTGCCGTTACAATTAGTCAGAATGTGTTGAATTACAAAACAAGTCATATATAAGGAAGTTATGAATTAATTTCCAGGCAAATCCAAAAGAATAAATTAAGTAAACAAGAAAACTTGTAATCATATCAAGATAGTCAGGAAATCCGTTCATTATCAGTTCACTAGTAAATAAATAAACGCATATTTTGTAATGATAAACTAAATATTGTAATTCTACAAAACAGTTAATAGTATATCCGGAAAATAAAGAATATTCGTAAATATTTGCTATTAGCAAATAGTAACAGCGAAATATAAGCTAGACTAAACAAACTAATATATTTTTGTATAAAGCCTTTGAAAACAGATTTCCTTTAAGTTAATGATGATATAACATTACTTACACTTTCTCCTGATGTGAAATTTAACCTGGGTAAACACATAGATTTTTATTACTTTTCTATGGTTTGTAGTTCGAAATTCTATGGAAATTTTTAAATAAATTTACCTGTTTTAAATTTCGTTTTAACCGATTAATTATGTACTTATCTACATTTCTAAAAAGTATATAACCTGTTGTTATTGTAGCTATCACAAAATATAAACGGAATCATTACCATAATGGTAGGTATGATTTATTCCTTGTCTGACTTTAAAAAAAACAAGAGGTGATTAGTAATGGATCCATATCCCGTACATCATGTTATGAAAATATACAACATAAGTAAAACTGATCGAAAACGTTTATGAATGATAGTTGTTGACATTTAGGTGGCACGATATCTGATTCCAATTAGATCATATGAATGATTGTTATTGAAATATACATCCCAGTTACCATCGTATATAATTATTGACTTACCTCGCGGTAGGGACTAACGAAATTAAGTAAATCAAATATGATAATGAATTTTAAATATGTGTATTTCACACAATCATTAATCTGGACAGATAATCAGGGAAACGAAACGAAGGAAGCAAAAAGGAAAGAGAGAAGCGAAACGAATCGGAGATGACATGTGGGCCAACTCAATTTAATCAAGCGTCAATAGATATTTATGGTCAAACAGAAATAAATTATAGACACATGATCAATAGGGTAAGTAATTAACATATATATAGGATCGTATAGTAAATTTAAGGTTAATAAGGGAATAGGTGACAGGGTAAAAATACAGCTTGAGAAGAATGAACAGATTGGTCTGTTCAGAGGCTAGATTAACCTACGTGGGGTTGACATAGTACCAGCCACTACAGAATATTGGTTACTACTGGAAGAACCTTCTTATGAATATACGTTCTTTGAATACTCACAAATTAGTTATATGTAAGACGTGAATTTGCTGTAATATTGCACATTTTATACAGAGAATTCTTTACCTAAATCAAACAAGAATGTTATTAAATAGAGCTAATAATAGTTATTCTTAATAGATTTGTTTAGGTGTCATCGAAGTAAAATCAAGTTAATTTCTAAATAATGTTGAAACTTTTACAATTCACAATTTTACACGCTTGAAACTTCACTTTATGCAAATTTTTCATCTTTAAGTGAACTCATAAAGTTTATTACTTTGAATGAATTCACTACCCTGTCCTACTTACATGTTTTATTCCTTTATAGGTTCACAAATAGTATATATGTTTATCTGTATGAAAGAACATTGAAAGTTAAATCTTCTACCTGTTCAGTTATAACTCAGCTGAAATAAAGATTCTCTTATTACTGTATATGATTTGTGAAGATTGTTGAAGTTTATAGTTAGTATCGTGAACTGTTCTTAGTTAAATAGACAAATATTTTGTTTCAATATAGATAAATACTGCTAAAGAGTCCCTTATTCCGATATAAAAGCTATTCAATACTTTCTGATTTTGAAGACTTATTTAACTAAGAATAGCCTTTGATGATAAATATAAAAGATTTTCTTAGTTAAACTGATTACTTGTATACTGGTAGTTTTTTGAAAATTTTTAGTAAACTTGTAAACTGACAATAAATATTTTGAATCACGGACTTGGACTTTTCAATCACAATCAATTAAGTAGCATAATAAGTTGTCTCGATAGCTGCTCTCTACCTCTGTCTTAAAAATATACTATTAGATTCACGTCTATACGGTAGATGGATATAAACTTTTTTATTTGGAACCGATTAAACAAGAGGTCTTGGGAATAACTGACCTTTGCACTTATTAATAAACTTTAGTTGATAATCATTTGATACTAATGTGTCAGTCAGCAACGTTTTATCTTTTTTCAACCGTGTCAGCAGTGCAAATTCTTTTTTAGCCCTATTAAAGAGATACTTAATCAAGCCTTCCTTGTATTGCAATAGATAGAAACTATGGAAAGTTAAGTATTGCTCCGTCCAAGTTGGTTTCCTACAAACAAACCGTTTTATAGTACCATCGTCCCTTCGACTAAAAAGTACGTCTAAAAAGAACAATTAGCCATTATTTTCTGCTTCATAAGTCATCATGATATCGTTTTGAACTCCAGTGAGTTTATCTGATGACAGGGAAACCCTAAAATTCTTATCACATATAACTACTATACCATTCATGTTTCTTCTATACAAAATTGCCTCATGTCATGTTGACATGCTATTTTTTATAAGTACAGTAATAATAATACTGTTTAGATGAATAAATTCTAACTTTATTAAAACTTATTTAGAAAAGTATTAACAAATTTTCTTTATTCTGGAGTTCAACCGCGTCAATTGTGAGGTAGTAGCTCACTGATGACAATGATGTATGTGTTGCTCAATTTCGCGGATTAGCTGAAGTTAGACACTAACACTGTTGGGTGCCGGTCAGCTCAGTGGTTATCCATTCGCGCGCGAGGCTGATAGGTCCTCGGTTCTAATCCCGCGACGCGGGGTCGTGAATGCCCATTATCACTGGGGAGTCCCACAATAGGGCAAAACGGAGGTCCAGTACTTCCAGGTTTTCCATGGCGGTCTAGTTTCAATTGATTATTACTCTCAACTATTGAAATTACTACAATCTCCACAAAACTCCTTCTGATACTAATTTTTCTTTTATTTATGATCAATGACCGGAAAATACACATGTTTAATTGTTCATTTAATGTATACTACTAGTTATAGAACATTAAAAAGAAATGCTGAGAAAAAAAGAAAACGACAAGTAATACACAATCACTTTTCGCTTAATAAGAGTTTTCAAAACAAAATAAAATAATAATTGAATGTGTTAGTTAAAATATGCAACAAACAATTTTACATGTTCAATATATAAAAAAGAATAAGATCTTATAATAAATTCATTGAGATTATTCAGTGGAGATTGTTCTAAAACACTCGTTATTTATTGTGTACTTAACGTGATTACAGATTAATCAAAGAAATGATTTTAATTACGAAGTGTATTTAAATTGGAAGAGAATATTGTGCTTTTTAAAAAATTCTTTTTTATATTGGAATTCTTCTAGGATGTAGAGTTTATAAGACAGAGTATAGTTCAGCAATAACTACAACTTTACTATGGTGGTAGTGGAATAATGACAAGGAAAGTGTATATTTATCAATCATGGATTGATGGTAATACTTTAAGAATCATATTTCTGATTGAAATAGATTGTGAATATTTTTCGAGATTGCCAATAAGTTACTTAATGAGTCTTGTTTTAATGATTCAGATGTTAAATATTTATCTAGATTACTTACAAAACATTTTCTACTAATAACTTACGCTGCTTGAGACAAACACTTGGACAGCGGAAATTTGTGTACATTCTCTGAAGAAATGGCTTATAATGAGTCACAAAACGTCAAAAAATTTATTTTTCTACTCATTGGGATCTTTATATATATATATATATATATATATAATTTTTACGTACATTTAACATTTTATGTCTAAGTGACTATTGTGTTTTTATAACTTTAACAGGAATAAATTGATGATATATTTTTGACATGTCAAACGATTAGAGATTAGATTTGTTAACATTTCACAACTAAGTCACCACTTCAATCAGTCAATACATAACTGAATTAAATTAACACAAATTTAAGTAGCACAGAGAATCAAAACAGAATAGATTTCAACTATTGAAATTTCTAAAAGTCTCCACTAATCCTCTTCTAATAATAATCATCTGATCACTAGTGACTGACTTCAAAAGGCATTTCCTGGAGTTCTAGTGAGAAGCAGTGACCAATGGAGTTCAACCGAGTCTGTTGTGAGATATCAACTCACTGAAGACGATGGTGGACGGTGGCGCAACTTCGTGGATTAGCTGAGGCTAGACATTAACACTGTTGGATGTTGGTTTAGTGAGCTAGAGGTTAAGCGCTCGCGCGCGAAACCAGTAGGTCCTGGGTTCGAATCTCGCAGGGGGCGAGGTCGTGGATGCGCACTGCTGAGGAGTCCCATGATAGGACGAAACGGCCGTCCAGTGCTTCCAGGTTTTCCATAGTGGTCTTGCTTCAATTGACTCATGATTTCAACTATTGAAATGTTTCACTTTCAATAGTTATTACAATTTATATTGTGTTTTTCTAAAGTACATGATTAATATCTGTAATAAATCATCTACTTAACATAAATTATTATTTATTAAGTATTAAATATTTGTAGAAAATACATTCCAGTATGTGTATGTGTTATGTCTTGTGAATCGAATACTTTTTGTAT